TCTGTTATTATTATTATCTATTAAACATATTATCACTGTTATTATTCGAGCATTGATGGTTAAGAAGGTCATGGAAACTCAGGAGAGAAGAAGAAGGAGACACCTGTCTGAACACAGACTTGTTACCTGGACACGTGGTGTTCATTGTAAGGGACCAGCAGGACAGTGTGTCCCTCCAGTAAACTGTTCTCGTTGATCTTCATGAAGTCTCGTCGACATCACAGCTTCTGGAGACTGTTCGGACTCCACGTTGACAACACTTCCGCATCCTCGCTCGCTGCTCCAAAGTCGACCGCTCGCACCGACACACGGGGAGGGGGGCGCCACCTGCTGGACGAAATGTAACTGCCTTACCTTATATGCAGTCTATGGTAACAACCAGAAGGGAAACTCATCGATACCCAACAATTTAAATTCCTCTCGCTGAATAATTCTCTGTTGATGCAGTGTCAGGTTTCAGTTTCATGGATTAAAGATCGTAAACTCCCTGATTTCCTTCACTGAGCTTCGACGGAGGTTTGAAAATAATAACATATTTTATTCAGACTTTAAAAAAAAGATCTTTTTTTTATTCATTCATCACACGGATGTTAAGTGGCCCTGCTCAGTCTGTGCCACAGCTTGACGGGCTCCTGTGGCGTGTTCACCATGTCCATCCAGTGCTGCAGCTGTTGGCCCCTGGCGTACATGAAGGGCCCCAGAACCAGAACCCCCAGCAGGACCGGAGGCTCTGGGACGAAACATTAACACATGAGCAGAGTGGCTACACCTTAAATAACAAGTTGAAATCTAAAAGGGACGGGTCGAACTGTCACCTGATGGGACGTCGTTCGGCTGCTGCAGCTCGATGCTCAGACAGGCCTCGTCCAAGTGCTGCGCCCGGAGTTTAAAGGTCATCCTGTGGTTGAAGTGCGGGTCGGTCTCGCCTTTCACCGCACAGCTGCGCTTCATCTTCACCACCTGAGTGTGTATCTGTAAACTCACCTGGACGCACACGCCTGCGTCTGTGAGCAGCTGAAGGCCCTGAGCTCTTAGAACCACCACAGAGAGGCGCTGCAGAGTTGGACTGTAACTGAGGGATATCAGCACATCACCCAACTCTGAACACTGGGAGAGAAGAAGAGCCACTGAGTGTGAGTGTGTGTGTGTGAGTGTGTGTGTGTGTGTGTGTGTGTGTGTGT